ATGAAGACACCATTACTTCTAATGTCTTACTATTATGTAGGCGGTATTTCTGCAACACCCTATATATATATATATATATATATATATATATGTGTGTGTGTGTGTGTGTGTATGTATTGGAGAAATTTTCTGACAACTTGGAAAGAGTTTATTTGTAATGCATTTCTTACTTCAGGACTTCATTGGACTAAATTTGTTATGTTGGTAGGACTACATAACAGCAGAGGATTGCTGGGAATTTTAGAATTTTTTTTTTATTTTTTGCAGCCAAATTCATTTAGATGGTTTTCTTTTTCTTTCCATTACTTTTGTAAGTAGATATTCTACGCTGCAATATTATAAGATCTGCCAGGAATGGTGAAATATTGTAAGAGCCAGAGCGCAAATTTGCTGTAGATGACCTTGCAATTAAAGCACTCTCTAGACATTTACGTTGTAGTGTATTGTTTTCTCCTTTGATCATGGTAGCATTTTTTATGTCAAAGTTGTGGTCAGTCTTGTTATGGTGAGCAAAATTTCTAAAATTCCCAGCACCCCTCTGCTGTATACATGTGTAGTCCTACCAACATAACAAATTTAGTCTGATGTAGTTCTGATGGATGAAACACGCCACAAGTAAACTTTTTCCACTCTGTCATAAAATTTCCCCAATACAGTTCTTCATATATATAAATATATATTGTTATCCCATATGTATGTATGAATGTGTACACACACATATATATATATATATATATATATATATATGTGTACACCCAAGTATATGATTGGTGTATATGGAATGAATTCCAATAACCAACAATTACTATTCTTAAAAGAGTGCTCAATACAAAGTAGAGCAGATATAATTATCTATTTAAAAAAAGTTTATAACATAAATATGTTATAAAATCACTACAAAAATAGCCATTTTGTTTCAACACCCCCAGTGTCTTATTAAGTGATGATGTTGAATGTAAAATAAATCTATTTATCTATAAATCTAGTTTTATTTTACATTCAACATTATCACTTGATAAGACACCAGGGGTGTTGAAACAAATGGTTATTTTTGTAGTGATTTTATAACATATTTATGTTATAAACTTTTTAAATAAATAATTATATATATATATATATATATATATATATATATATATATATAAAGATAGATATATAGATCATAATATCAAATCTGTAAGTGGAAAGGATAATCCAAGTAGGACTTTTTAATATAAAACATTAAAAAGATATATCCATAAAGAGAGCTCAATGTATAGTATACAGAGCAATATGATATACATTAAGGAAAAACTTAACACATCATCGAAAAATGATTATAGATTATATTTTATTTTGGTTTGTTTTCGATTATGCATTAAGTTTTTCCATGATGTGTTTATATATATATATATATATATATGTGTGTGTGTGTGTGTGTGTGTGTGTGTGTATATATATATATATATATATATATATATATATATATATATATATAATTGTGTATTTGTGCAACAGTCCCTCTTGTATATAAATGCTTGGATCTACAGATCATTTTGACAGTTTTACTTACTCTATGTCTGGAAAAAGAAATCACTTGTATGAATCCAATAAAATTTAATAAAAAGCTTAATTGCATTGCATTGCCTTGTCACTATCTGCAATGAAATGACATATATATATATAGATATATATATATATATATATATATATATATATATATATATTACTGTCAATACAGCGTGATTAGAATATATAGCCAAAGTGTAATTACTCAAGAATTTGAAAAAAATGAGACAGAACGATAGAAAAATAGCTTCCTATTTTATTGATTTCACAGGAAGACCTCAAGATATATATGACTGGTCATCTCAAATGTCAGAGTATAAAAAAGATCTTTAGTAAAGAAAAATTTGTTTGTTAATTCAAATAGCTGTTCAAGTCTTTAAATTTTATTTTTTTCATTTTTTGCTTTTTCTTTATTTTTTGTAAAATGTCACAGAACAAGTAGATTAGTTTTGACACTAGTTGACGACTAACTTGAAATAAAATTTTATCTGACCTTTTCAGAATGTGACGATTCAGACATGTCTTTCTTTCTTTTTTTTTATTAGCTGTTTTTTCTTATATTTGAAAAAAATATAGTGAATAGGGCTTAATGTTTTATAAGAAAAATGTTAAAAATATTTTTTTGGAAAGAAAAATATTCATAGAGATATATGGACACAATTTTGTCTTCTTCATTCGATAGTTTATAATCATTATAGATCGGCACCTTGGTAATTCACCAGTGTCATTTGTTATTGAAGTTGTGATAACTTAATCATTAAGATTTTTCACTCATATACCATCACTGTCTAATATTCTATATAGCCATGAATGCTGGACAATTTCCTCACAGATAAAGAAGAGACTTGAAACAAAAAAGATATGCTTATTATGGTAAGCACTAAGAATCCCATGAACAGATCATGCAAGCTACAAGGAAATTCTAAGAAAAATATGAGCTACAAGGAAACATAATTACAATCAGAAAGATACAAATTAAATTTCTGGTAGGCATGATAAGGAAAGAAGGCCTAGAGAATTTAACACTCCCAAGACATACTGAAGTCAAGAAATCAGGGAGAAACAGTCTGTGATCTATTTAAAAAAAATTGTGAATGGATGGCTGAACAGAGACAAAGGTGGATTGTAATGTGTAAAATAATCACAACAAAGTACACAGCACTTATTTTGACTAACCGCATTACTTAGAATGATTACTTCACTATTTATTTCATTTTATCTGCAGCTGGTTAATGTGTTACTTAAATGAGAGTTTTTCAAACATTATAAAAGTGGGTTGAAAGTATTAAATCGAATGTCAAAAACTTGAAATGATGCAAATTTATTATTATTTATTAAGAATTTAATTTAAATTTATTATCTATCTCTTTATGTGTCATGTCCCTTGTAGCTGTTAATAAATTTTGTCTTTCTGTTATTTCTCCTAAACTCTATTCTGCCATCCATTTACCATATATACATGTGTATCATGCGACTTTTGAAGACCTAATTTCAAAGCTAATTTAACTACAGTAAATGGATATATAAGGTGGTCAACAGTGTATACCTCATGTATGATGCAACCCCATAAAAATTAGCTTAAAAATTAGGTTTTTAATTAGGTCATGATACACAGGTATATAGAGTACTCATGCTCACCAAGTATCTTATATGTTGCTTTTCTCTGTCTCTCTTGTCTTCAATCTGTCCTGTGAGTATCAGATTTTCCAAGCCTTCCTTATTTATCATATGCCCCAAAAATTTCAACTGTCTCTTCTTGATATTAAGTATTTGTTTCCTTTTTGTTTCCATTTTTTCTAAAACCTTGTATTTGTTTACATGTTCAGTTCATGGCATCCCCAGTATCCTTCTGTAGAACCACATTTCTGTTGCAACAAATCTCTTCTTCATCTTTGTGTCCAGCATTCACCGCCATATAGGAGGATAGATATTCACTGCTTATTTCACAATTTATCTGAAATTGATAAACGTGTTACTTAAATGAGTCTTTTTCAAACATTATAAAAGTGGATTGAAAGTATTAAAAGAAACTTGAAGCACCATCATCACTCTAATCTTAAGAATGATTTTCTATTAAGTTTAGTTATTGCCAAAATTGTGACAGTTAATGTAGTATTAATAATTTACCAATATATTTAGGGAATAATCTAAAGTTTTATTAGGAACAGCTGCAGTTTCTAGTGAATGGAATTTCGCAATTTATTTATATAACTAGGTGAATACCCATTCTGCGAACAGAGAAAAGTAAATTGTTATAGAAGATCTATTTTCTAGTTTATTTTTCATTAAGCTAAGTTCACTTGAATTTCCTACTCTGCACATAGAAGTGACCATGAGAGGAGGACAGATATTCACTACATGTTTCATAATCTATCTGAAACAGTAAATTGATAAATACGTTACTTACATGAGTGTTTTTCAAACATTATAAATATGGGTTGACAGTATTAAAAAAAACTTGAGATGTTGTAAATTTATAATTATTAATTAGGAATTTAAGTTAAATTTAATTTAAATTTATTATAAACAAATGCAAATTATTGATAAGATTCATCATGCAAATTTAATTCGTCCGTTAGAGCAGGCATTACTTTCCCCAGCTTTTACCATCCTACAAACGATATTCCACAAAATTTTCATTGAATTTTTTTCCTTAAATGTATTTTAATTATATTTTCCATAGTTTTTGCAGTTGTTGTGCATGTTTCTTTTTCATTGCCAAATGTTCATATGAAAATGATGAAAATGGCCTTGAATAATTCCATTGAGAAAGATTTGCTGCCTTTCTTGTCCATGATGAAACAAACAAAGTGAAATGTTTTTTAATTGATAAAAGGTTACAAAAATGTGAAAACAATTTTCTATTTCTTTTTTTTCTTTTTTTTCACTCAGTTTAATCTGAGTAAGGCAATAATGTCACTAAGATGCAAGGGTCTACTGGGAGTGAAAGAGAAAGAAAAGACTTTAGAAGCAACCAAAAAGCCAGTCCTAAACAGAGAACAAAGGATAAACATTTAATTCTGTTAAAACTCGGGAGGAGTGTGAACAGAACAATAAGTGAACGTATCTACTGCTATTGGGGAGAAAAGTAAAATAATTAGCAAATAAAGTTTCACAGTTCAGGTGGAGATGTTAGAAGTACAAAGCTAAAGTCGACTTTACGAGGAACTGAAAACTTTGATCCTAAACAGGGAACAAGGGATAAAAATCTACTCCTGTTTAAAATACCAGAGAGGAGTGTGAACTGGGCAATAGGTGAATGTAGGCAATAATATAAGTTACAGATGGCTATAAAAAGGCATTGGTATTTACAGCTAATTTGTTTAAACAATTCACTGACATTGCTTGCATCTTATACACAGAATCGTTAGTAAAATGATGCACTAAAATAAGTAACTAAGTAATCATTTTAAGTGCTCTGAATATTGGCACAATAAAAAATTGAGGCTTATGGCCATAATGTTGAAGTACTGGTTCCCATATGATCACTGAAGTTAAGCAACATCGAACATAGTCAGTAGCTAGATGGGTGACTGCTTGAGAATACCAAGTGCTGTAAGCTTAGATGTGTGGCTTGTGTAATGTATAATGGCTCAGAATTGTTAATTGGAGAGCAATTTCCAATTCCAGTTGGTTTTGTTATATTCACTTTCACGAAAATACCCTTGGAAAAGGTATGAATCCACCTCTTCTCCCCCCCCTGCTATGGGTTAATTAGTAAGACATGTATCAGTAAATCATTATCTCAAAAAAATTCTTACAATTTAAAAATATTTTTCTGGTTTTAAATAACCTGCAAAAAGTTGATAAGTTGTAGAAAATGAATAAATCAATCAATGAATGTCTTTTAGATTTATTTATATTTTCTGAAATATAAATGTATAGAAAATAATGTGACCACAAAGTGAGGGGTCAGTTTATATATTGATTATAATATAGAATTGATGTCACACTTTATATCCACATTATAATTTCCTGTTTGTTTATCAAATTCTGATTAGGTATGAATCCACCTTTATTTTCCCCAGCTATGGGTTAATTAGTAAGACATGTATCAGTAAATTATTATTATCTCAAAAAAGCAATTCTTACAATCTAAAAATATTTTCTGGCTTTAAATAACCTGCAGGAGGTTGGTGAGCCATGGCAAGCAAATCAATCAATTAATCAAAAAGCAATAAAAAATTACCTGGAGGAACAAAACAGAGAAAGTTGTGGAGGGCTATGATCGCCTATGACTTGGAAAGACTAGACATATGAGAGAAGAAATAGAAACATCATCATCACCCTAATCTTAAGAATGACTTTCTATTAAGTTTAGTTATTGTTAAAATTGTGACAATTAATATTGTATTAAAAATTTACTAATATATTTAGGGAGTAATCTAAGGTTTTAGTGGTATAAGCTGCAGTATCAAGTGAATGGAATTTCACAATTTATTTATATAACTCGGTGAATACCCATTCTGCAAACAGAGAAAAGTAAGTTGTCATAGAAGTTCTCTTCTCAAAAATTTCTGTATCAACAACATTTTCAGAAGGACATTTATTTTCTAAATTATTTTTTGTCATTAAGTTAAGTCCACTTGAATTTTCTGCATTAAACATTGAGCTGAACATGAGAGAAATGTTTGAATAATTTTCTCTTTATATTAATTCAGAAAACTTATTTTTTTCACTTGTTAAAATTGAAAAAACCCAGTACAATGTAAGGAAAATCTAATTAAACAGATTATTTTTACTTAGATAATTCCATTCAACTAATTTGTAGTAATGTGAAATGTCAGACTACAACAATGGTTGCTACAAACATTACAAGGTTTTATAATTATAATACTTGATATTAAGAAGTAGACTATTATAAATTTATATTAATGATAGTAATGAATAAAATAAATTATAAGTTTATTTTATTTTATTATATTCTAACCAAATACCTGTTCTAAGAACAGAGAAAAGTATGTTGTCATAAAATTTCTCTTACCTGTTTAAAATTTCTATACAAACATTTTCAGAAAGACATCTATTTTCTAAGGTTCTTTTTGTTATTATGCTAAGTCCACTTGCATGTTTCTAATCTGGACATGGCTATGTAGAGATGACCTTGAGAGAAACATTTGAATAATTTTCTATTTCTATTAATAATAATAATAATTAATTCATTAAATTTACTATTTTTTTTATTTCACTATGTAATAGGTTTAAGAAAAACTAAGTAAACAGATTATTTGACTTATTTTGATAATTTCATAAAAATTTTGTTGCCATTCGACAAATTTGTATTAATGTGAAATATCCAATGACAACAATGTTTATTATTATAAATACTCTGTAGTTTTTCTCAGGACTGAATTTTGACGAGGCAGATATAATCTTTTTTCTCTACAAACATGATGAAATGAAAAGATCTTTATCAACAGAAACCTTGCTTCTATATGGCAATTTTAAAAATTTGAATGGAGTACCATAGAGGAAATAATTAATAAAATATGATTTTAAAAATTGCTATTCAAATTGAATATTAACACTTATGTAGTAAATGCACAGATATATAAAAATGGTAACAACTTTCAATGTCAAATTAATGGCTTCTCCACTCCCACAGACAAATTGTACACTATATTTCAAAAGTTGAAGAAACTCCTGGTAATTTTTTTAAATTGGTCCAAAATGTAGTTTTTTTTTTTTTACTTTAAATAACAGAAAATTATTATCCATGAAACAATTTCTTTTATTAGAAATTTCATTATGATGAAAAGAAAAAAATATTTTATGATCAAATTTTGCTCTCATCAAAACATCCTCCGTTAGCCTTAATTACTGCAGCAGAAATTTTTGGCATTCGTTGCAAAAGTTTCTCAAAGTATAAGTTTGATAATTGATTTCATTTTTTTTCTCACTCTTCTGTCAAGCTCATCTCGTGCTAATTCTGGAGGTAGCTTCAAACTTTTGAACTGTAGTGTACATATGAGTCTAGTTAGGACTCCATAGAGTTTTTGAGATTTTATGGTGGTTGTAATAGGAATGGTAAGTAAGAATGTGGTTGTTTTGGTACAAGTAATATTATATAGTTTGTTTGGGTAGGTGAATGTGGCAAGCTAAGTTTTTAAAATAAAACATAGAAAACCAACCTTCCCCATCCCCACTTTTAGCATTGTACCACATTTTTTGTTTTATACAAATATAAATATTATTATGGCCTCCCCACCAAAGCAGGATGTAACACAATGTTGTTTTAACGTGGGGAGCAGCATATACTTACATATGTATATAAGCGGTTGTGAGTTTAAAGTTTCAAAATGATTTGTAAGGCTGATTTGATGGATAAAAAGAAATGTTAAATAACTTTTGAGTTTGCAGAAAAGGTAAAATGGCTCCAGAAATGGCAAAAATGATTGACAGGTACCAATGAACTGTAAAGAAATACACTGACGGCAAATGGAATTTCATAATTTATTTTTGTAATGAGGGCCAGCAAATTTTAATGGCTTCATGAAATGTTTTTGCTCAAGTTTAAAATTGAAAATTAATAACTCAACAATTTTAGATATGGCATCTAAATTCATACTGGGCTTTTTGTCAATGTGGGGAGCAATTATGTTAGCATCAGATATTATAAAAATATGTCTTTCTGTTTTGTCAAGGACAGTGAGCAAACAAATATCAAGGAATTTGTAACAAGTAGAAATAGTTTCTCCAGTGGCTTCTCGAGTAAAACGTTTAAAAATATAGCGAATAAATAATGATGACAGTGATAATTAAGACTAATGCTTCTAATGCGAGCAATTTACCACTTTAGTTGGTGTATAACTGTGATTTATTTAATAATTATGACCTCAGTCTGATAATATTTATTATATTTAGTGTGTGAAATGTGTATTTTTTTATTAAAGTTCACCCAGTACAAGGTCTAAGTGCCACTCAAGATAGAGTGTTACAATTTACCACTTTAACTTTACATACATATAGAATTATCTACAGTTTTAATGTACTTGACATGTAAACTGACCAAAGAGAACTAACCCAAACAAAATTGAAAATACCAGAGTTTGTCTTTTTTGTTTGTTTTCTGTCAATCTCTGATGAAGCTTTAATAAAACTGAAACGTTAGATTGATACACATTTCCTATTTGTTCTTTATTTTATCATATATGTATATACATATACAAATTATACTAATCTCCCAATCATAATATTTTTGTTGTTGATTAATATCTGTAGCAGTAGTAGTATTAAACATTAATGTAAGCTTTATATTAATTAGTTAATCACTGTCCTGAGTATTACAATAAACTACATCTGGCAGCAAGACCTCTGATCAGGAGGTTTTGAAAAGCATGGAACCACCTTTTAATTGCTGCTGTTTCCATGTCCACCCTGACCGAATGTGATAGCTTTCGTTATGGCCCCAGCTATGGGTAAATAGTTAACCCCCAAACTGGGTTCAAAACACTGAGATTTTTTATAGTAAAAATACCAGAAATACATTTTCATATTAAAAAAATTCCCAGCAATACATTTAAAAAAAATTACCAGCAATATATTTTTGTAAAAGAAATTACTAATGCTCCCAATAAAATTAAATTTTGGCATTAAATGACCCATAAGGAGTTGATATGCCGTTAAAAAAACAAACAACCTTAAATATAATTAGACATGAAAGTATTTTAATGATATACTTTCATGTATCCAATGCCAGTAGTAGATGTTGTAACAGTAGAACAATGAGTAATTTACCAGTGTAATTGGTAGATCATCCAGAATCTTAGTATGCAGTAATTTAATAGTATTATTATTTGATGGACTGAAACCAAGATAACTGAAGAAGTAATTTATCATCATAGCATGAAGCAGAACCTTAGTACTACCTGCAGGTGCAGTTTTGAGGTTGTAGTACAGGGCTGGACTTCAATTCTCTCTATATAGGTAAATCAATAAATCGGTATCCTAATGATGAAAAATGAATTTGTTTTGCATATGTATTTATTTTTCAACATAATCTTCTTCTTTTTCAATGTACTTATATTAGTAATGAATAATAAATACATAATGAAGAAATACTGAAAAGTTGTCAGACTGACCAACAAGCTTTTTAAGACAAAATTCCTCTTTGCTTATTTGGTCAGATTATTGGAAGTGAGACAGGCTGAGAAATTTTCAGCGCCCTATAAGAGATTGAAAAATTATAGTGAAAAATTTGATTTCAGTATTCAGCTATGTGCCAGTCTATGGACTTACTGCTGTTACTCTTATATCCAGCATTCACTACCACACATTTATATAATCAAGGGAAAATATACATTTAAAATCAAATTAAAGAACCCTTATTTTTTCACTTGTAAAATTTGTGATTTTTTAAAAAAAATTACTACTGTTGACAGAATTAAAAATAATTTATTTTATTTTATGATATTGTTTTTGTAATATGTAAATCATATTATATGTTTTTTGCTTTATCTTTTATAAGTATGGGTATCAATTTAGTTTATAGTAGAAATAGTTGAGATCATTTCAGCATTAAATGACTGTTTACCAGCAGAGATGTTTGGATCAAAGTGGC